TTCCATCAAGTCTCCACTGTTCATCCTCCACTTTACTGCCTGCAGGCACTCTAACTTGGAGTCTGAACTTATTATGCTTCTCCCTTCTCTGAATTTTGGTGCACTCAGCTTGTGAATGGAGAGGGAATGAGCTCATTCTACCTGCGTCAGCACGAGGAATGGTTATGCTGCAGACGGCTCGGTGAGGAAAGTGTAATGAGGAAGCACAAGTACCCCCCCACACGTTCTGGGATCGGCTTGCTCCCTCTCAACCAATCAAGCATGACGTGATTTAAGCCTCCCGCCGCTGCAGGTGAACTCCACGAGAACAGATTTATGAAAATGTTTAACTTTTTCCTGTAAGATTGCTCCAGGCTCTCTGTCCTCTCTCAGACCTAATCAACCAAAACGCTCCATTTCTCTTGCTTTGTCTCTCCTCTTATCCTCCCTTCTTCTCCCTCTCCCTCTCCCTCTCCCTCAATCAGCCCATCCTTACTGTGTCTCTCCATTTTGCACACTATCACACCTTTGTCCTCACCTCCAAGAACTAGGGAAATAGGGATGACAAATCTTTCTTCTCAGCAGGGATTGCTGGAGGGATTTTTTCATTGATGGTGGCTGATTCTCTCATGCTGTGTTCAAGGAAGGTAATGCTCCCATACTCTACTTTCTCCTCGCGGCAAGCATTGAGCTTCAATGCTTACCTACCATTTTTGGATATGAACGGTGTGCTTATGTTGCTAAACAAACACAACTACTCTATTTTTGCAATCTTTTCTGAAGCGGGCAGACGAAATAAACAACACGACAGTCGGTTCAGTTTTCTGATAAATGGCCTTGTGTGCTCCAGTAGTTGTGACACAGAGGGCAAAAAAGAGAGAGAGAAGAAGATCGAGGGGGGGAATGGAGGGAAGATGACAAGATACGGTGTTTGTCTGATCCTTGAGAGGGGAGAGGTTTCATTACCTGAGGGATTTCAGCAGGGGATGTCTCGGAGGTGCCGTATTTTTTTTGCTCGCTGCTTGTCAGTGTTGCGGCGCTGCTACATATACTTCTGTGTTTTTAGTCACTCAGGGATTTCAGTGGCACCAGCAGGGGCCAGGCAGCGCAGGAATCAGCTGTGATGGATGGCGATGTCTGTCCTAGAGGATGGAGGGGTCACAGTAGTTCAAGACGGTGATGGAGACACTTCCCTGCTCGGCCCCCGCGACTTTTTTAATTAACCTCTTTGGGAGGACCAGTCTCTTCCTTTAGAGGTAATCACAGTCTGGAAAGTCCCTTCATTAGGACTCATCTGACCTCTGTGTGTCCAGTAGTGTGCACACTTTCTGTCCCTACATCCTCTACCTCCCATTCAATGCAGTAATGGCCCTGCCACACAGAAAGGGAGACAACAGCGGTGAACTTACCTCTAGCTGTTCAGAGTTTTCGTTCTCTCTAACCTCTCTGTTTCCCCGTTAGATTTGATTTCACTGCGAGGCAAATTCATTGATCCCACCAAGAGACGAATGCAGTTTAATGGCGATTAGGCAAGCCACCTCACGCCAGATGCTTCTGTACTTTCCCCCTTCTCATCTCTCATTTTCTCCTTTCTGCTCTCAGCGTAGACCTTGTGGCCTCATTATACACAAACAGACAAGAGGCATAGACAGAAATAAAATTTATCCTATTTTTCACATTAGACTTCTAAGGGACAAACAGGCCTCTGCGCTCCCTAGGGGAGGCAAAACCCTCTGAGTGATGCCCCAGAACAAGCAGATCAAACGGCTCTCCTCCGGCTCCTCGCCTTTCTTCCTATCTCTCTATTTTGGTTGCCTTCTTTCATGTTAGGGAACAGTGGCTTAAGTGGCTCTATTGGAGCTCTCTGATGGGCTCTCAAATGAAGCCTGTGTGAGCTTGGGAAATAAATTGGTTTGTTCTGAAGCTGTGATGCCTGTGGCGCCCCCTACTGTTTGCTCTGTGATCTGATGAAAGAGGAGAGGCGGGTGGGGAGGGAGAGCAGGCGAAACAAAGTACGCGAGGCAGGCAGGGAAGAGGTCAAGGAAAAAAAAGGAATGGGATGAGTCATGCAACTTGCTTTGTTGGAGCATTTACATTTCATTTCAGTCGATGAGAGTTTTATACATGCAAAATGAACACTCTACATTTAATGTATTCACAATAGAAGGAGGGGATGGAGAGAGAAATGCATGGACCCACAACTCCCCCATGTGGACATCCTGCACAAAATCACTTCTTGAAAATCCAAAGCTCCTATGAACTGACTTCTGTCAGCACACAGCCCATTAAATATTCCAACTTATGACTATGCAACCAATAAATCAGGCTGCAAAACTGACATCAATTTATCTTTACTAATCTGTCTTCCTATGTCCAGTTTTCCTCCATTTAATTTCATGTATGCCGGGAAATGACACGCAGAATGTATCCAGTTCATCCTCGCTTCAATGATCCACCCCTGAATTATTCATATTTCTTTAACATTCCTGTTTGTCTGTATCTTCCTCATTCACATGCAGCCCAGCAGGGTCCTTGGCTTTTCTGTTTAGCTTATCTGAAAGTTGCTTTAGTCACCGTGTGTGGCAGTGATGTGTGTGCAGAGTGCGTACCCACACCAGTACAATCTGTGTGTTTGCATGCAATTGGCCTTTTGCCAACAGAGAGGATCAGTGAATCAGAAACACTGGTCTTACTCCCTAAAACAGGAGGATGCAGAGCCTTTTTTCTTTTCGCTTTGGATGTTTGCATGTGTTTGTTTCTGTGCTGTTTATCTGCACATGTTTTCATCTTGTTGCAGAGTAATCAGCATTTTCAGTGTGAAAACAAACACACATCTGTCTTGTCCAGGTGCCAGCGTGTTATCACATGCCACTCAAAGCGAACGCTGCCTCTTTCTCTCCTCTGAAACGATGGATAGCAGTTATATTAGTTTGAAACAAGTGCTCCTTAAACTTTAATGTCATTTACATAAATGATGTCTTTGAAATTTACCATCATTGGCTCTAAGTCTTTAAAGTTTATAACTCACTGCAGTGACTGAAGAGCTTGTAATGGTTTAGCTGCTGTATTGAGACTGTTTTGTGAAGGCTATGGTAATGTTCTTTTTGTCCCCATGAATGATAAGGCATATGGACTTTGTATTGTGTTGTAAAGGTTTTTATTTGTTGAGGGCATCTTTGCTTTATTACACTCAACCAAATGGTGTATCATGATTATCTAATCACTATCAGCTCTTTGTTCAGGTTGTGGCCTGCATAACAGATCAGTGTAGCCGTGTCTGAGTGTGACTGTTGATCCTGAAGAAGGCCTGAGGGCAGAGACGTCATCTAAATAACAGTGAAATGCATAAGAAGCCAGAGTGTGCGACATTTGTTGTCTACTTTCAAGTCTACTGACACTGGGCCATCTGGGTAACCAATAGCTGTCATATAAATGGAGTGGAGTAAAAAGTACAGTCCTCCTCTGGAATATATAAAGTAGAATAACATGGAAATAGAAGTAAGTAGTAAAGTACAGTACAAGTGCCCCAAAATTACTGAAGTACAGTACTTGTGTACCAGTGTTGGGAAGTAACTAGTTATATGTAAGAGTTATGGAATTATATTATAGCATAACTATAACCGTGGTCTATTACAAATGCTTAGATAAACTGTGTAATTAAAATACAGTTACTAATCAAATATTGTAGATTTCAGAAGGGTTACATTTGAATATATTCTTTGAGGTAAAAAGTTTATTTGTTGAATATAACATTTATTCTGTTGCTGTGCATCTTTCCAATGTGCAGGAATGTCTTCTTTTGGCGTAACCTATTCACGGACATTTTCCAGCTTTCATTGCCCAGTTTAAAACATTGGTTAGAAATGTCATCAAAAAGTAATGAAATATAATAAGTTACATTACTTTGATGCAGTAATTTAAATAGTTATATTGCTTACTACATTTTTACGGGGTAACTAGTGCCTATTACATTTCAAAATTAGCTTTCACAACACTGTTTAAATCATTGTTACACTCCAGCACTGATTACAGGTAGCCTACATACATGGATGGATTACTTAACAGGCCTACAGTGCACAGGCCCAGAGGCCCAAAGTGTCAGGTGCCCCCCTGGCCTTCACATGCAAAATGTCACTCAAATTAAAGAGTCCTGAGCAGGAAGAGACTCAAATTGACCATGAGGAAACAAAAAGAGACCACAAAGAGATGCAAAAGAACTGTGAAGAGACATAAAATGACTACAAAAATGGACAAAACAACCTCAGAGACACAAAACAACCACAAGGAAATACAAAATGACTACAAAATGGACAAAACAACCACATAGAGACAAAAAACAACCACAAGGAATTGCAAAATGACTACAAAAATGGACAAAACAACCACAAAGGGACACAAAACAAGCACAAGGGAATGCAAAATGGCTACCAAGTGACACAAATGAAAAATTACAAAAAAAGAAATGAAATTACCTCAAACAGTTACAAAACACCCAATAAAGAGACACAAAACCACAAAAAAATGCATATCAAATACAAAAAGACACAACACCACCACAAAGTCTGTATCATGCTCCTATGTAAGAGAGGTGGTGGGCCCCTTTGCAAACCTGTGCCCAGGGGCCCACTATTTCATAATCCGCCCATGCCTACACAGCATCAACATAATATAGAAGACTGAATAAAGGGAAAATGGTGTTACTAACAGCTAAATATAGGTTTATAATTTATCACAGTACTGTAGTTTATTTCAATTTCCACCTCTGAAGAACAACCTTATAAACCAGTGTTACTGTATTCTCATTTGGTGCATTCAGCTCTGAGGCTGAACCAACCTGTGTTTATATAGTAAAGACACCAAAGCCGATTATGACCCGGGCCCGGAGGCAGGGCAGCGGAAGGTGAAGCGGCAATTTGATTGGTCGCCGCCGTGTCAGGAAGTGTCAAGCAACCAATTGAACGGCGCGGAGATTTATCTCTGCCTCTGACAGTCCGACCCAAAGTACCTGTCAACACAATGCACTTCTTCTGTCAAGGTAATGAGTTTCCTGAATGTTTCTCCTCTCACAAAGCAGCTGTTTAACCTCGGCGGAAATGCTTATAAAAATGACGGAACACTAATTATCTCCGGAGAAAGTCTCGGCGCTTTTATGGACGAAGTTTGTCCCTCTTATTATCTGCACCAGCCGGACTCCCGGAATGACATTTGTTGCCACTAGCAGGATGGAGTGTCTGTTCCAGAGATGCCATAAAGAGGCTGTCTTCCTCTCTGTCTTTCGCTCCGTGCTGCTCATGACATGCTTGGTAAGAGCTACCCCGATTAATTCACCGACTTCTATCATCATTTCCCATATGAAAACTTTGAGAAAAGTCTGAAGTAATCCATAACAAAAAAGGCTCTGACGTCTGAAATGCTAAATGGTTATTAATTGTTATTTATTCCAACATGTTTGTGTTGGATTTACGCGCAGCTATGTCTTGCTGTGATGCTGTGCTGTGCAGAGAAGTAGGACAGATTATAAATTGGTCACTGCATCCAAGCCAAGGCCCATACTCATTTATCTGTGACAGACAGCGCCAAATAATAAGAGGATAAATACTGAATCCAATCCAAACATGGCAATCCTTTTAGAGGGCAGCAGATAATTAAATTGAGTTATAACTTAGCCTCATCCAAACATAAAATAACATGAAACAGCCAAATGTTCAAATAATTTATGACAGATACAAACATCATTCCGGGATGCCACAAACATGGTCTTACAGTATAAGTCTGTTAGGTAACTGTGAGATGTCCTTTATTGCACCCAACCCTCTCTGCAGCTCCTGTTCCTGTTTGTGTCCATGTATCCCGGGTTATGGTCCATCGGTGTCCAGCTTCATTCAGCCGTTACAGGAAGCTATGTACCAGGCCACCACTCTGTCCTTCTCGTCAACAGTCCCAACGAACAGGCAGCCAAGGACATTGGCAGGTACAGTACTGACACATACCAAGTCGCATCTTACAGCCTGTAACACACAACTGTTGTGCTTTAAAAATAGAAGCTAAACTTGGAAACTTGGATACTTTCACTTGTGATGTTAAACGATTCAGCTTGAATATGTCAAAAGGAGTAGTTCCACATTTTCGGACCTTTTAAATATAACACAGAGCCTGTTTACACCTGTTATAAACATGTGCTTTGGTGTTCCAAACACACATGGACAGCCGAGACATGACTGTTCTCACTTGTGTTTATCATTCGTCTCCGACTGACCTCTGTGGTCAGATTTTACTACCTGTGTCACTTATGAAAGAAGGTCAAAGGGCCCTCACACAGTAACTATGTCCACACTCTGGCTAGCCAAATGCTCGCTAGTCACGCTAGCAGTTTTGTCGGTAGAGCTGAAGATATCAGTCAGTACGTTTACATGCACAGTTTAATTCCACTTTTAATCGGAATGAAAGGCCATTCCGATTAAAAGTGGTCATGTAAACGGTCATTCCGATTGAAAATTAAATCCGATTAAAGGGGGTGGTTTATTCCGTTCGTCATTCCGAATGAAAGAATTTTGTGTGCATGTATACACTCATTCCGCTTTAAATTCATTCCAGTCTTTCTGCGCATGCTCATTTCCTTGCCCTTCTGGCGCGATGACGTATATAGCGCGCATAGCAACGGGCTGCATAGCAACGGGCTGAGATAGAGCAGTCGGACCTGTTGCACTCACCGGTTTCCATTCGCCACAGCACGGTCTTCTACCTCCCTTCTTCGACCTTCTGCCTCCCCTCTCCTCCTCAACAGATGAAGCATTAGCAGAACAAGGTTGTTGTCGTAATGCTGCTTCAACAATATAAGCAAAACACAACCGAAAAAGGCACTAGGAACGGCGTCGTCAAGTATCTTGTTATCCGGAGCGAGGACTACAGTGTTTTCTTCCGGTAAACGTAAACACGTAACATCCGCCCCGCCCCCTATCCAATCAGAAACGTTCCCTGGCCCAAACCTTGCACAGACCTGAATAAAGGCGATTGAACTGATCTCCCATGTAAACCCTCATTCGGAATGAATATTTCCCATGTAAACTACCTGGAAAGACTTTAATTCCGAATGATTTCATTCAGATTTATTTCATTCCGAATGAGAAGCCATCATGTAACCGTAGCCACTGTCTGCAGAAGTCAACAAATCTACTTCCACAGAGCAAAACGAGGGATGATCAAGCAACACTTTGTCCAACTCGTCATAAAATAGGCATGTTATAGAGCATTAAAGGTCCAGTATGTAGGACTTAGGGGCATCTATTGGCAACAATGGTTTATAACATTTGTAACAATATTATTATCAGTATATAATCAACTGTTTTCCTTACCTTAGAATGAGCCCTATATATCAACATACGGAGCGAGTCCTCTTCGCAAAGTCCGCCATTTTGGTTCTGCAGTAGCCTAGAAAGGACATATCAAACACTGGCTCTAGACAGGGCCACTGTAGTTCATTTCTGCAAACTCACTACTAGATGCTACTAAATCTTACACACTAGACCGTTAACGTGCTGTCATTAAAACAACCACCACATGCTGCATTTATGATGTAGTCCTGGTCTGGGACACATTAGCATTTACACTACAAAATATATGTGGTTAAATGCATTTCAGACCACCTCAGATCAGATCACAATGTGTCTAGGTGGTTGTCCACACAAGAGACATGTTAATACCAGGTATAAACAGGCTCTAAAGATCACTAGTTGGAATGAACTTTCTGAAAACTCTGGTGATTGTCTGGCAACCTCATGTAAGTCACTGTGCCTGGCCAAGAAAACAATAACATGTCTTTTTTACAGTCCATTTTATACACAGATTAAACAAACGAGATATAGCATGTTAATTAGGGAGCTTTAGAAGTGCTGCTTTTTTATCTTTGGACAGAGCTATGCCACCTGTTTACCTTGCCTTCAGTTTTTATGCGAAGCTAGGTTAACTGTCTGCTGGCTCAAGTTTCATATTTACTGTACAGACACGAGAGTGGTGTCAGTCTTTGGATCTAACCCACTGCAAAAAAACACATAAGAGTGAACCTCAAAATGTGAATCCAGAATTGAACTATTCAGTTAATCTGGGTGTTAATTTAATTCCTTTGCTTTGCCATGGATTTGGTTTGGAACTTGATTTCAAAGTCAGTCAGCCAACCAAACAGTAAGTTTGACTTTTCTGTCTAGAGAAGAGATACAGTCCTGTCAAACCCACTACTGGTAGAGCGCTGTGTTTGCACTCTCATCTCCTTTGTTGGCATTTTAGCTGCATGTAAATGAGCTCTATTTACCACGTGTCAAGACAGAAGGTAGCGGCGCACAGTGCGGGTGCCAGATATGTAAATCACCTCCTTCAGAGACACCGGTTAGAGGAGGGGGCACAACTGAGCTGGTGATAAACTATGATATCAGCTGAGCAGCAGCAGAAAGCGAAGTTTACCATCTTTTCTGAATTTAGTGCATAAAAGTTGTTTCCCGCGGCCTGCTTGAAGTGCAACATAATGAAGAGTTCAGTTTCACGCTGTAATTGATAAACAGCTGGTGGCTTGTAAGTGTTTAATTTTTCTTTCCTCTCTTTCCATGTCAACCCCCTCTGTTTCCATCCACGCTCCCCACCATTCTGTGTCTTTTTCCAGGGCGATCATGGAGAGGCGGCTGGCAGCCAGTGTTAACATTCTCTCCAGGACCTCCACAATGTAAATCACATCTGCCCCCTACCTTGACACAACTTTGTACCCAGCTGGGGCATCGACACAAAGACGAGCTTAGTTATAATGTCCCTCACATGTGCAGACACTTACACACGTAAACACATGTTCTTTTTCCTCTCCCCTACATAGCTGGTTGCCTAGGAAACCACAAGGTGAATGGGCTGCATCTGAATGCCTTTATCAGTTTTCCCATCACCAGAAACTGAGTGGCAGTTAGCCTTCAAAGCGGCCATATGTTTATATGCATGGATTAGCTTTCCTGTTAATGCATAACCCACAGGAGGAACAAAGGAGGAAAAAACTCTGGGTGGAGAGGATGGAGGGGAAGTGAATAGAAAAGGCAGCGTTAAACCTGTTAACCAAACGGAGGTTTAACCTAAAAATAGACGATGTGGTTGGAGTAGCTCAGGGGTGAGGGTGGTGATGGATGTGGTAGGGGTTTTCATGCGAGTGAGTGCAGGTGTGTGATGAATTTTGGTTACATCCAGGCTTATTTAGTCTTATACCTCAACATTGATTTTGACATTTCACACGCCATCTCTCACAGTCCACAACAAAAACGCACCATGCTTAAAAGCAGAGAGGCAGTTTTGCACTTGACACAATAAAAGCCTGTCTGGAATGGTTTGACAGTATCACTGTGAATCACAGCGGTCGTAATGAGTTGGGCAAGGTTTGATTGTTGTGTTCTTTCGGAAAATACAGTTTTTCGTGAAAGCTTTTTTAACCTGAATTTAAAGGCTCTGCACTGTGCACTGTGCTGGTACTTCTCAGCCTGGAGTAATTTACAGTCCCTCTGAGGCAGGGCAATATATATATGTTATATTATGTAATATTGTGACATGAGACTAGATATCTACTTAGATTTTGGATATTATAATATTGTAAGTGATGTCTTCTCCTGGATATAAAGGCTGCATTACAGTAATGTGCTGTAGTTTTCTAAACTTAACAGAGTGTTCTTGCTATTCTGTTATTTGCCTTTACACACTTGTCATTATATCCACATGATTGATTAAAAATCTTGTGTAAATATTCTGTCCAAGCACCAGTAGTCAACCCTATAATATCATCATATTGATATAATATAGATTTATGATTTTCTCTATCTTTCAGTCCTACATGTGTTCTAACCATGTCTTGGGTTTTGTGGTTCTTTAGGTACTTTTGGAAAGGTGAAATCCAGGATGCAAGCGAAGTTCTTATGGTAAGCTTACTGAGAAAGTCCCTTTATGATAAACATGTGCTCTACAGGCATGCTGAGATAGAAGGAAGAAATGTAAGATGAGATGTCACTGTTGTTGCAGCTGGTGAAAACAAAGACCTCCAGGACCCAGCAAGTCATAGATTATGTGAGGTGAGAGGCTGCTTTATGTAATGGTCATTCCAGATTAAAACTGTACATGAAATTACTGTTTATGTTTCAAACTAACTTAGTGCTTAAGTTGCACATGCTGCTGTAGACATGCTTTAAAGTAGGGGTGTTGAACTCATTCAGTTCATGGGCCAGTCCATTTTGATCTCAAGTGAGCCAGACCAGTAAAACCATGGCGTAATAACCTATAGATACAATACAATACAATACAAACAATACTCCAAATGTTACCTTTACTACATTCTGAAAACATTAATTCACTCACAAAATAAGAGAAATTTCAACATTAACATCTCATCAGTATTAGATATGAGAAGTCATCCAGCTGGTCCGACTGGACCCTTTGGCGGGCCGCTTCTGGCCCATGACCGTATGTTCGACACCCCTGCTTTAAAGGTTCATTGCAGTTGTTTTCAACTTGGGCCTTACCATGTACTTAGAGTTATTTCACTGTCTATCTTTATGAATAAGACCCCCGGTGTGCCACTGCACTGTTCAATAAAAGCAGTCCCTGTCATCAAGCAATTACATTTTATTCATAAAAAGCATATTGCATAATATATTGTTGTTGTTGCTTACACGCTTTCTAATTTACCGTTGCTGTGTGTGAGAGTAATTGGAAGAAGTAGAGCTGGATTTAGTTGCTTCAGCTTGAAAAATGATTCCTAGTTGTGTGGCGTAACAAAAATGGAAAATATCTGTATTTGAATGTGGATGTTTTGTTAAAACTGAAATTGCAAGAGTTAGTAAATGTACTGATCTCACATATGCATTACCTGAAATAACTTATCCCACTACCTCGGCATCAGATAACCATAAGGAGTTAATTATCTACATTTCTGCTCATTTGGTCAGATTGCAGGAGCAGACTGTTCGATGTGTTCATGTGCCAAGTTGTTGCAATAGAATCTTGTGGGGTGAAAAGTCCAGGTTGAAAATAATTGGAATAAACAGGAACTGCTTCCTGCTTTGCTCCAGTGCAGACGCTCTTCTCTCTTGCTGTCGTCTCATCTTTTTCATACTTCTTCCCAGTTCCACTCTCAAGCTACAAAACCTTTAAGGACCTATAACTGCTAAATCTTTTGGGCGGATCATTTACAAAGTGCTACCCACAATGTTAACGTGACCCAAACAGTAATTTGGTCTAGTGACAGAATTGTACCTTGGAATGCACTATACCTCTCTGCTCATCAGAATCAATGAAGCGGACAGACTGTCATAAACTGTTACAGAAGATTGCCATTCTCAAAACAAGAATATTGGTACAGGGGAAGTCCTCCAAACTCCACAACATTGCCAAGTCTTCTGCGTCTCAGCACAATAAGATTTAAATGGACAGCCATCTCTAAATGACATTATACCTTTGCCATGACTCACTGAAACAAAAGCAGCTAAATTATGTACCATGATTTCTACCTGCTGGGATAATCTGGCTACAAAACACAAAGACAAGTGCAAGACTGTACCCCCACAGAGAGCAGAATTTATTGATTCAGCTCAGCCAACTTAGACCCAGGACATCTGGTGGACAGCCAAAGGTGGGCATAAAGACAGACTACAGTCACTCTGGTACTACAAGTGCAAAAACAGCTTTGAAACATTAATTATTTTTTAGGCAAAGGAGGAGAAAAGGTCTCGTGGAGAATAGGGGGGGGGATCATCTTTAAAGATAGGATTCAACATGTAACTTTGGTTGTGGGAGAATAGATAAACATACCAAAATGAATCATATTATTCTACATGTGGGAGCCAAGGATATTTGCAGAGATAGTAAGTCAGGATTTCATCGAACTGTCTGGACAAACTGGCAGCCCAGTTTTTTATTAGTGGACCACTGCCAACAGTCAACAAAGGGATCAAAAGGTTCAACAGACTCTGTATCACTGAACACATGGCTCAGCAAAACCTGTGGTCTGAAAAGGATCAACTATAGTGATACTTTCAGTCTGTTCTGGGGACATGGGTATCCTTTCAGGGCAGGTGGCCTCCACCCAAGCATATCTGGAGTGGGATATAGCTCACCCCAAAATCAAAAGTACATATTTTTCCTGTTTTGCTGTATTTTTGGTGAGTGAGAGAGTGTTGGAGATATCAGCCGTAGAGATGTCTGCCTTCTTTCCAGTATAATGGAACTAGATAGCACTCAGCTTGTGGTGCTCAACGCACCAAAAAATAGATTTTTAAAAAACTCAACAGCAATGTCTCTTTTCAGAAATCATAACCTGATTATTCAAGATAATCCACTGACTTTGTTGTGAGCAGTTTCATGAGGGAACTATTTTCTTTCTAGTGCAGTACACGCACCAACTGTATTACCTTGTAGAAGGAAGAGTGCATCTACTCATGGACGTGGTCATGAGAGCACAAGACGTAAACATTAATGGCGTCCTCCTTAGTTAAGCTGTACCATTATACAGCTCAGTGGTGCTAGGTGAGCTAGCAGTAGATGCACGCTGCAAGTCGGTTACAATGATGAACTGCTGTCAGGTCAGAGCTTTGGTGAGGACGATGAGCCTATAGATAAGCTTCCTTGAGACAATTTCTGATGATTAGTGCAAACATTCTTAGATTGTGCCAACAAACTATTGCATCAGCTGTTCGGGTGGCTGGTCTTAGATGATCTTGCAGCTAAAGATGCTTGATGTGAAGTCCTGAGCTAGTTGGGTTACTCATGGACAAAATTTAAGAAAAATATATCTATTGCATGCATAAAAAAGTCTTAGATCTTTGACTTAAACCTGTGAAAGGTGGCAAAAACAAGAGTTGCATGTACATTTTTGTTCAGTATAGTTCCATTATATTCAAGAGATGGCAGAATTCTCTACAGCTTTTAACTCCAACACTTTGCAACTCACACCAGAACAATCTAGACTGGTAAATAGCACTGAAGGTAAAATGAAAAATACATATATTGGATTTGGGGGTGACTGTCCCTTTAAAGTACTGACAGATCATTTTCAGTTCATCTGGTGACACCCATCTGCCAGGCCTGAGATGATGCACCCTGGCACACAGCTTGAAGACAAAACATCACATTGTCAGTGTCAGCGCGTTGACAACCAGCTCATGGATCAGTCTCCTAATTCCTCCTCCCTTCACTCTCCTCTCTCCCCTTTTGGGTTTCACTGATAGAATGGGAGCACTGGTTAACGCTGGCATTAAATTTACCCCCTGGTCATTTGGCATGTTGTTTGCCTCCACCCCAACTAAGCACATTCTGTAACACCAATCTGTTTTCCCCTGTTTCTAGTCTTTGTGCTCTTCTTCTGGACTGCATGTTCCTTTTCCTATTTTGATAAGTAGTAAATTTGCACTCAGCTAAATCTGCTATAATCAAATTTCATAGCAATTACTCGTCTGTCTTCACAACAGACCTTTTAATTGTCAAAAAAAACGCTTTTAACACTTGAGTTTTATTAAATGTCAGGTCTTTGTCAGGCAAATAATTTGTAATTAATGATTTTATAATCAAGCACTATCTTGATTTTATGTCTTTAATGGAAACTTGGTCAGATAACAGCGTTGCATTGATTCAACCCCTCCCAACCTCAGTTTTATGAGCGAAGCTAAAGTGCATAATAAAGGAGTGGAGTTGCCGTTTTGCTTAACAATTATTTCCAGTGCAAGCACACGTCTTATAGAAAATGTGCTTTGTTTGAATACACAGTTCTCAAGTTAAATTCCTAATGTCTGCATTGACTTTGAATGTATAGTTATTGATGGTGAATTCAACATTCATATCGACGGCTCCCAGGACAGCAGCATTAAAGAATTGTGTTGTACTCTGGAATAACTATGGACTGACTCAGCATTTGACAGAGTCCATACACAATAAGGGGCACACTCTGGACTCCATCATCTCCACGCTTTTAACATTTCTAAGGCTGTGGTGACAGATTTTGCTTTTACTGATCATTTCCATGTTGTCTTTGAGATGACCATCTCAGTGCACACAAATTTTCAATCACAGAACATTACATGACTGAAAAAAAAAAAAAACAGTGAATTTTTCACTCAGGCTTTCTCTTCTGCTCCTGCACCCAATTATGTCTCAGCTGATGGAAATTGTGTGTGAAAATTAAAATAATACGACATTTATAAAGAGAGACTTTGCATTTATAATTTGGATATGAGAAATGAAAGGCAGTCCCTCCTCTTACTTGATTTCTGAAAACAGTTGTAATGCATGTGCCTTATTTGCTACTAACCCACTTGTATCAGATTTTATCTACTGATTTAATTTGCATCCTTCTTCACTGAAATAATTCAGAAAGTCAGACAAGCTGTCAGCTCCTCCTAATCAGGTATAGGGTCTATATTGTCCTTGCATGCACTTAAAACCCATTAAATTAGCATGACGCAATTTGGTCCTGTCAGCCATAAAACCTTGGAGGAAATTGTGTAGCATTTGAAATCCTCCGTTTGCCTTGATATTTTTCCTACAGGCTTTTTCACTAATGTATTTAACTGCATAAAATCAGATCTGCAAATAGTCAACACTTCTCTACTCCCAGGCTGTTTCCCACAGGCGCTGAAAACTGCAGTTATTACGCCACATCTCACTAATTAACAATTTCAGGCCCATATAAACCTCCTAAGGGTATTGAATGACATCTACTTGAACACAAACAGAAGAAAAGTTTCAGTCTTATTGTTAAATCTCAGTGCTGCATTCAACACTGTCAACCACAAAATATTACTTAACTAGAAAACTAGGTGGGACTTTCTTGCACAGTGCTTAATTGGTGTCCCTCAAGGTTCCATTTTGGGGCCTCTTCAGTTCAACATCAACATACTCCCACTAGCGCATATTATGGAAAACAACATAATATTACATGACTATAATAATTATGCAAACACAGATTGATATAACAATATCACTAAATGACTATTTTTATATTGTCCTTTTACAGTACATTGTTTCTTACATACCTCGTCTTACTGCTGCTGTCTTTTGTAAAGCACTTTGAATGGCCTTGTTGTTGACAGATGCTATACAAATGAATTTGCCCTGCCTAGTACAAATGTGACTTACTGCTATTTTTCATCTCTATGAAGAAATTCCATGCCCTCTCTGACATGTTTGTGTTTGTGCGGGTCCCTTCAAGGTCTGTCCACCCCTATGCAAACCCAGAAGTCCTCAGCTTTGCGGTGGAGGACGGCAGTCTGGCTTACATGAAGTGGATGGATGAAGCCATTCCAGACAACTGATACATCATTAAAATCAGAGCCAATCTCTGCATGGACTGCAGCCGAACAAGGAAAATGAGCCATGCGTACAGGCTGTTGTTTGAAGGCTTTGGATCGAAGGGATCTGAAAGCACTCTGTTGAACAAAAGTTCAATACGTGACATTTACACTTTTTTGTTGCTCTGACCTTCTTATTGTAAATTCCAGTGTGTACTGTGGGGATTTGATTTCAATCCTTTAAAGAGACTTTGTACCACAGTTATAGAAAATACTTGCTTCTGATCGACTGGCAGGTATAGGTTACCATACCATGACAGCACATGTCAAACAAACGAAGTACCAGTCAACCAGTGACTTTGAAGTAAATATGCATAATATATTTAGCCATAGGTAACAATGATTATCTCAGTAAGCTCTCACTGACTAAACTGACCTACACTAACATGGCTTAAACTGCACAAAAACAAATATTTAAAAAAAGAAAAAAAAAGACTGATAATACAGTCCAAGGTATACAGATTTAGAAAATAATGGACTCATTAGAGGAATCACATCTCTGTATCATTTGAGAAAGTTCACCCCAAAATAAAAAATACTTATTTTTCCTCTTACTTGTGTTGCTATTTATCAATCTAAATTGTTTTGGTCCGAGTTGCCAAGTGTTGGAGATATTGGCCGTAAACATGCCTGCCTTCTTTTGAATGTGATGGAACTAGATGGCACTCAGCTTGTGGTGTTCAAAGCACAAAAAACATACATTTGAAAAACTTAATAGCAATGTCTCTTTCCAGAAAGTATGACCTGGTAAGTCATGATTATTCACAGACCTTGTTGTGAGCAGGTTCACATACAAACTATTGTCTTTTTACCGGTTTACCACACCCACAAACTATATCACCGTGCAGAGGGAAGCATGCGCCTACAGCTAGCTCACCTAGCGCCTCTAAGCTAGCTAACACCACAGCTCAGCTGAGTAGGACACCATTTATGTTTATAACTCATGCTGTGACAACCACAAGCCTCCCATCTATGAGTAGATGATACAGTTTACAGCAGATGATACAGTTGCAAGGTGTACGATAGAAAATAGGCCCACATGAAACTGCGCACAACAATGTCTGTGGATTATCTCAAGAAATCAGGTCATGATTTCTGAAAAGAGACATTGATGTTAAGTTTTTAAATGTATTTTTTATGCTTTGAGCACCACAAGCAGAGTGCCATCTAGTTCTCTTATATTGGAGAGATGGCAGGCATCTCTATGGCTGATATCTCCAACACTCTGCAACTCACACCAAAACAATCTCAATTGATAAATAGCACTACAGGTAAGAGGAAAAATATGTGATTTTTAATTTGGGGTGGACTGTCCCTTTAAAGTCTGTAAGGCTTGTAATAATAGTGTGTGCTAGAACATATTGATGGTCTGACTATACGATACTAATAACTATATCAATTTGGTAATTGTTATATAATAGAGATGCACTGCCTGTTATTAAACATATCATTTCCAATACTGTAACATTACCTTTAACTATTTATTGTTGTGAATTGAAAGTCAAAAGATTTTTTAAGCTGGCCTTTTAAACAGAGAAACCTGGTCAGCAGCACTTAGAAGGACAGGAAGTCAGAGCAATTTACATGTTTAATAGGTTATTGATCTGTCAGGCTATAAAAGATTTACTTTATCGTAAGGCAACCCACAACTGTTTACCTTGTGTACTGTTTTTACAAGTAAAAAGCTGAATTTCATACTGCTCTGCTCCAGGGTTAGCTCAGCGTGGATTAATGAAACATCCACTACCACCTTGTATAACCTCAAACAATGCTACACAGTACTACTGAGGATAAATTAACAAACAGGTATGACCGACAGCACTCGCTGTTATTGTACATCTTGACCCTGTCTCACTTGTATCAGACTAATTATGAAATGTTTTCTGTGTTTTGTTTGTATCTCGAAGAACTGATGCTGATCAGAGCAGGTCTCCCATGAACAGCACATCCTTGATCTCCATGAGAGTAGTCTTGCCAAATAAATAAAACTTTAATTGAATCGCAAAAACAAATTTGTTAATCAGCTCGCGGCTACACTTGAACATCTTGAGAGCATCACAGGTCTTGTTATCTGTATTCTTGCTTTCACAAATATGCATTGGAGATATGGTACATGACCAGAGATGTTTAATTAATTTCACTTAAAAATTAAACAACAACTTTTAATACTCCAGTATTACAACAAGTCTGCCAGTGATACCATGCCATATTTGTGCTTACACAGGTCAGCCATGCATGCTTACCTCATTTAACAAAAATATGCACTAAGCCTCAGTCTGCAAAAAGTGGTTTCGGCATGAGGCCCCAACAAAGGAACTGCAGACATGGTTTAGTCGGGTGTTGTGTCTGTGGAGCCAAAATAATCCTCCGCATCAGGTCCAGAGATCAGGCCATTTGGTGGCAGTGTGTGTGGGGTGTTTGTTACTTAAATGCATATGTGTCCATTAACATCAATGTGTGTGCACAAGCCATGTTTAAATATGCCATAAATACATACAGGTACTTTTATGCCTTTGTGAGTAATTACGGCCGACTAGTGATGAATGATACAATGTGAAATAAATATTGCAATAAATGAGAAATATCCTGCAATTTGATCAAGTGTTCACAAGATGGTGGTGTTTCAATACTGCTTAAATTAATTCCCGTGTTTCCAGACGTTCACATGGATCCTATTGAATTAAAGTGGGTAGTTTTTGTCAGATATTATAGCAAAAACACAACAAGCTCATAACCCAAAATTCCTCCTGGCTGAGGAGTAAGCTACCTCTCACTACCACTCTTCTTCTAGGAAGTAATTTGAAAATGGTGTTAGAGCTTTTCTCCTCTGCTTAATATGAAGTCATGTTCAGCCTTATACAGTGAGCTAGCATGAAGATGAATTCCACAAAGTGAATAATATGTCTTTCCCATATTGGTATCATTATTATTGCAAATTACCACCAACATCAAAGGATGCATAATTAGTTTTCACTTCTCTAAATAATCACATTTTGTGTATAGAATCTCTTTCACTCACAATTAATTATTTTGGACTGTATCTCTCTATACTTCTGTGAAGACCCTCTATACGGCACATTCAGTCAAATCCTAATTGGCTGAAGCAGCTAAAGAAGTACCATATATTTCTACATTAATAATATCCAACACAGAGACATATGGCTGCCTCTTTTTTCTCCCCGTGTGTCATTAAATTCTCCATGGGAAGCAGAGTTAGGAACAGGATAATTAAGAATAAGCTGTAAGAAACAGACGCTGATAATAACATGCACCCACTGAGAAATTCAATAAACTGAGGATAATAACACACACACACACACACACACACGCACACAGCTATCTGATCTAGCAATGCAAACGTGGTGAGCTAACAGGTATTTTATGAATGCGTGTGTATACACTGGCATCACTGCAGTTATTAATACTAATCAAGAAAAGCACTTCTTGCTTATATGGATGCATATTTTTGACATCATGTCCATGCAGCATACTGTACAAGGCTTGTCTTCAGTTTACATTGTGTTGCTTATACAAACGTTGCTCTGCAGTCCAACTATACTGCAATCAGACCTGGGTCAGTAAGAAACTCAAACAGCATACACACACACACACACACTCACACACGCTGAATAATATTCCTTTAATTACTGAAGCATTTCAGAAGACTATTAAAGGTGCTCTTGTCATAAAAACAAACTCGTCTTGAGAAGGCTTGTCAACAAGTTTTACCAAATTTTCATAGACATACTGTCGCTTTGTGGGTTTAACTGTGTATATATAGCAACCGTGTTGATATTTCTGTTTCTGTAAGTGATCCATTTTCTCTTTTCCTCTTGCAGACACTGAATGACCCCACACCTGGTGAACAAGTACAACACAACATGCTGTGCAGCCCCTGAGAGAATTTTGATAGAAATCAAGGTACATCAGTCAATGTGGTTGTTCTTAAAGTGGCATTGTTTTCCATTAAGTTGAATAAGTTTATGCCCTACCAAGGCCAGTTGTGTTCGTGACAGTGGGCAAATGACATTCACAGCATTTACATATTACCTCTTATACAGTACATTTTTACTCCGGTTGTGTTTAGTACATATGCCTGGAACCAGCAAAGGGCTGTATCACAGTTTGTCCTTGAGGGTATTCTTAAATGTCTAGTGTGTAGGATTTAGTGGCATCTAGTGGCTAAGATTGCAGATTGCATCCAACTGAATCTTTACTGTGTGCCAAGTGTGTAGGAGAACTACAATAGAATAAAAACACGAATGGCCCTGTCTAGAGTCAGTGTTGGAAAAGGACCTGCTCCATATGTTGAAATAAATTCTAAAGTAATGAAAACACAACAATTCTTAGATTCAGGTGGTTCTACACTAAAGAAGTCTTATCATATTGAATTCCATGGGGGACTCTTACCTGTAGTGCTATTGATCAATCTAGATTGTTTTCGTTTTAGTTGCCAAGTGATGGAGATATCGGCCATAGAGATGTCTGCCTTCGCTCAAATATAATAGGACTTGATGGCACTCGGCTTGTGGTGCTCAAATGACCAAAAAACTACATTTGAAAAATACAACAGCAATGTCTCTTTCCAGAAATCACATAATTCACAGACCTTGTATTGAGCTGTTTCATGTAGGAACTATTTTCATTCTACTGAACTTCACCTGCCAACCTTATCTATGCACAGAAGGAAGCGTGCATCTACTGCTAGCTCACCTAACACCACTGAGCTAGCTAATGTTACAGCTCAGCTGAGGAGGATGCCATAATGTTTACACCTTGTGCTTTCAGGAATATGGGCCTCTTGTCCATAAGTAGATGCTTTTGTCACATGGTAATAGGGCTGGCAATTGTAGTTTGGTAGAAAGAAAATAGTTCCTACATGAAACTGCTCACAACAAGGTCTGTGGATAGCTTGAATAACCGAGTCATGATTTTTGGAAAAGACATTACTGTTGAGTTTTTCAAATGTATTTTTTTGGTGCTTTGAGCACCACAAGCTGAGTGCCATCTAGTTCCATTATATTTGAAAGAGGCTGAAATCTCTTAACACAAGGCAACTTGCAATCTACATTGACAAATAGCACCACAGGTAAGAGGAAAAACATGTATTTTTGATTCTAGGGTGAACTGTTCCATTGATAAAAAGAACAGATTTGCAAAATGAATAGAATGAGAGAGAAGATTTTACATCCTGGTGGCATTCACCAGTCATGTCTTTTGTTCCGTCACTTTAAAGTCCTGCAACCACAGGTGGCTGGAGCCCGGTGAATACATTGTACAGCAGGTAAAAGGAATATTTTAGCAGCATATAGTTAACTGATGGACTGGGAGGAGCCACTCCATAGGGAGGTGCAACATGATTACACAGCATCCCAGATCTGCTTCCAAGGGCAGATGATCTACTTTTTTAATCTGAATGCATATTTTAGAATAAAATTATATCTTTTCTGCATTCTCAAGAGTTTTGCTTTATATAAAAATGAAATGTGTATTAAATAATATGCCCTCACACACTAAGATGGAATTTCTAAATAGGCTGATAGTGGGGTTTTAAATTTATATCAGCATGATCCACTTCTCACAAGGCAGGTTTGTGGTCACTTTTAGAGTTTATTACCTGTAGTCATTGGCTGTAGTTTCTGCTGTCCCTCCTGTATGCTCCAGGGTAAAAAGCTAACAAATAGTAGCCTACATGAATGATGATTGTTATGCCTAATGAGCAGACACAGTGAGAAACAGTGACATGTGATAAACAGCAGAGAATAGGGAGGATTATGATCTGACCTTGGCATGGTGGATGGCATGAGACCTGGGCGAGACCGCTGCCAAGCACCACTGCTCGAGAACAGGGGCACTTCCAGCCATGTTTGTAGTGACAAATCCAAATATTTTTTTAATCACACATGTTTTCTAATGAGACATTGGGACATTTACAGCTGTATCTGTGGCGGCCTAACCTTTGTATCTTTTAATGAGAGGCAAGAATATTTCCAGCTGTATTTGTGGCGAAAAAAAATGGTATTTTTTAACGAGATGTTGGGACATTTCCAGCCGTGTCTGGCAACCAAACCAGGTAGTTTAAGCCAAAACATGATGTTTTTCTAACCCTAACCCTTATATTTCCAGCCATGTTTGTGGTGGCACAATTGGGAAAGTTTTAACAAGACATCAGGACATTTCCAGCTCTGGTTGTAGCAACAAAACCAGGCAATTTTTTTT